AAGGACAATTCATCAAGGTCGCAAAGATTTCACATGTGACATGTGCGAAAAAAAATTCCAATTTGGCAGAACTTTGATAGTACACCAAAAAACAGTCCACGAGGGTCGCAAAGATTTTGCATGTAATAATTGCGAAAAGAAATTTGGACGTAAGTCAGATTTGTTGAAGCACCAAAGGATAGTTCATGAAGGCCAGAAAGACTACGCATGCGAAAAATGCGAAAAGAAATTTACACAAAAATTTAATTTGCTATTCCACCAAAACATAACCCATGAAGGTCGTAAAGATTTTGCTTGTAACCAGTGCGAGAAACAATTTGGACAAAAAATTCATTTGCTCATGCACCAAAACACAATCCATGAAGGTCGCAAAGATTACAAATGTGACATTTGCGAGCAAAAATTTGGACACAAATCGAGTTTACTTTCACATAAAAAGACAGTACACGAGGGTCGCAAAAATTACATATGCGATAAGTGCGAGAAGAAATTTGGAAAAAAATTAGATTTGTCAATGCACCAAAGAACCATCCATGAGGGTCGTAAAGATTACACATGCGAAAACTGCGAAAAGAAATTCGGACTAAAATCAAATATGCTCAGACACATGAAGACAGTACACTAAGGTCGCATGCTGGAAGACAGGACAGAAAGAATATTAAAAATTTCTTGTACCCGCATCGAATTGAAGTTGTCACCCATTAACAGTCTATCGAATGCATAAAAACTAACTATTGAACAATTTCAGAAGTTTTCGAAGATTACGTATATGGTAAATACGATTTTATCTCATTATTTTAAATACGCGCAATTTCATGCAATCTCACCTCTTTCTTACAAATAAGTAATAATAATTAATATGAATAGCTCGATCAAATTATTGCAGCCTCGTGTTCTGAAAAGTTTTTCAGAGAATAACGTGCATTTTATCAATGAAATATTGAAAAGCACTAATTTTCTTTTTTTCTACAATTTCTATTATGTATTAATACTTATATTAATTTCTAAGAACAAAATTTCGATAAAAACTATGTTAATATTATTGTTTTACCTAAACCTCCTACGTTCAACTATCATTTTATACCTTTGTTCCCCGTCGTGGTGATATTTTATTTTTAACCAAATTTCGCATACAACTAATTACTACTCTAATTGAATTATTATAATTTGATTTGAATTTAGTTCAATGTTCTTGACATTGAATCTTTTCCCATAGCAGTAGAAAGACTTTACTACAGATAAAACATGAAAAACTGTGATGGATCATCTTAAATATCTTAGTACCATTTACATTTTCCCTAAACGAACATCAGTGGCGAATGATAGAATTTTTTTTAAGTACATGGTTTTAAAAAACCAAAAAAACTCTTCGAAGAAATTATAGCGAAATTTAAAATTTAAACTGATTCAAACTAAGAATAATAAATAAACAGACGAATCGATAACTTATTTCTATACATTATAGTCATAAATAAGTTTGAAATAGTCCCTCGAATACTAATCATGTTTATAGTAAGATCAAATTAGATTGAAAATCCAGACAAAATATCAAAATATTCATTCAATTTCTGTCAAACCAAGTGGAAACATCCAGCTTTAATTTTCGGTACCAAAATGGATACAAGTGAAAAGAAATCCGAGGAGATTGTCTCTAAAGATAATTTAAGTGAACACGACGCTGTTGTTTCAGATGACAAACCACTCATTAGTGATATTCGTCAGGAGGCATTTACACTAGAATCAATCATAATAACACACCGAGACACAATTCACAATGAACCAAAAAATTACTCATGTGACAAGTGCAAACAGAAATTTGAGTTTAGAAGTCACTTGAGTAGGCACCAAATATTGGTACATAAAGGCCACAATGATTTTGCATGCGATAGATGCGAAAAAAAATTTGTAAAAAAATCGAGTTTGCTCACGCACCAAAAATTAGTACACAAAGATTGTGAAAATTTTACTTGCAACAAGTGCGAGAAAAAATTTGAAAATAAATTAACTTTACTTAAGCACAACAAAATATTCCACGAAGTTTTCAAAGATTATTTATGTGAAAAGTGTGCGAAGAGATTTGGAAATAAACAAAGTCTGCTCGCACACATAAAGACAGTCCACGAGGGTCGCAAAGATTTTGCATGCGATGAACACGAGATGAAATTTGGAATAACATCAAATTGCATCAAGCTTCAAAATACAGTTCATGATGTCTATAAATACTACTTATGTGACAAGTGCGAAAAGAAATTTGCAAAAAAATCGAGATTGCTCAGACACCAAAAGATAGTACACGAAGGTCGCAAAGATTACACATGCGATAAATGTGAGAAAAAATTTGGATATAAACAGCTCTTGCTTCTACACCAAAAGACAGTCCATGAAGGTCGCAGAGACTATGTATGTGACAAATGTGAAAAGAAATTTGGATCAAAATCGAATTTGCTCATACACCAAAAGACAGTACACGAAGGTCGCAAAGATTACACATGCGATGAATGTGAGAAAAAGTTTGGACAAAAACAGCTCTTGCTTCTACACCAAAAGACAGTCCATGAAGGCCGCAGAGACTATGTATGTGACAAATGTGAAAAGAAATTTGGATCAAAATCGAATTTGATCAGCCACCATAAGGTAATTCACAAAGGTGTGAGAGATTACACATGTGACAAGTGCGAAAAGAAATTTGGGAATCTAGCTAATTTGAACAAACATCATAAAGCAGTCCACGAAAGTCGCAAAGATTTTACATGCGACAAGTGTGAACAAAAATTCGGCTATAAACAGCATTTGATGGATCACCAAAAAGTAATACACGAGGGTCGCAAAGATTATGCATGCGATATATGTGAGAAGAAATTTGGAAGAAAGTCAGATTTATCGAAGCACCAAAGAACAGTACACAAAAGTCGCAAAGATTACGCATGCGATAATTGCGACAAGAAATTTGGACAAACATCGACATTGCTCAGACACCAAAAGATAGTACACGAAGGTCGAAAAGATTTTGCATGCGAAAAGTGCGAGAAAAAATTTGGACAAAAATCGCTTTTACTTAGACACCAAAGAGAAGTTCACGAAGGACACAAAGATTACGCTTGCGACATTTGTGAGAAGAAATTTGGACGAACGTCACATTTATACTTTCATAAAAAATTAGTCCACGAAGGTCGCAAAGATCACGAATGCGACTATTGCGGAAAGAAGTTTGGGTCTCGATCTTATTTGATTAAACACCAAAAGATAGTCCATTCGCAAAGTATATGCATGGGACAATCGCGATAAAAATTTTAGAAGTATATCAGATCTATCAAAGCACTAAGGAAAGGGACACCAAAAAACAGTGCACGAAGTTTGAAAAGATAAGGAACGCAATAAGCGTGTAATTTTGACCGAAAAAAGTCCATAGTATGTACAGAAACTACCACTACCATTCTATCAAGTATTAAAGTTGCCACAAAATTGCTCGTTCATACAAACAGTTCGACTTTATTCCATTCGCATATTCGGAATAGTTCCTAAGAGAATAATAGCGTGCATTTTATCAGTAAAACAATGAAAATCGATGATTTTTTCTTGACAATTGTAAATATGTGTAGAAACTAGTGTAGAGATTTTCAAGAACAAGTTTTTCTAAAATTTGAATAAAAATGTTGTGAATCAAAAGATGTTTTCCACGTTCTCCAAAATTATCAGAAGCTCCCATAATTGTTTTATCCTTTTCCGAAGTACTTTCATTATTCCAAAATTTTATTTCAAAGCTTCGATTTTAATTTTTCTACTTTTCAAAACTTGTCCTCCTTAACCGAGCGGCAAATGGAATTAGTCGCTGTAATGAATGTACACGCATATACAGACCTTTAAAAGTCTGTAAATAACAAACACATCTAGCCACGCATAATACGCATGTGCACATGTGCAGTCGCACTGCGTGGGCTACAGCATATAACGTACGTGCCATCTTTTCTTCTTATTTACCTCATTATTATTATTATCATCATGTAGCGGATAGCATGGCATAGCATACTTTGGTATTAATCAACGACTATGCCTTAGCACAGGCAAACATTCTTAAAATCTCTCTTATCTTTCCCTGTTTGGCTTTATACATACAAGTCTGTAGTGTATACAGACTTTTGCGTAATGCATTTCTGGCTAAGTACGCGTAGATTCGACTGTATTTGTGTGTGTGCGCGCACGCGGAAAATTTGCTCCATACGTATACACACGTAAGTATAGCTGGAGAGCGAGATTCCAAATGCTTTAAGGTTTTTCAAGTGTATTACGGCGAATATATCCGAGCTATACGCGCGTTTCTTAGCGTGAAAGTGGAAAATCGCGTAATGCGTACATGTACGCGGGGATCGTGTCTGCGGCTCTCCGCTGTCTGCCCTATAATACACACGCACGAGAGAGAGAAAAAGTTTTAATGCTCATTTTTATTAGCTATTTAATTTATGAAGTAAACCGATAGAACATTTCAAATCGTACGTAATTAAATCTCCGTTAATAAGTAAGAAGTTGATTTTATGACGCGTATATCAGGACACTTACTGCAGCAAAAAAAGCACGACTACGAAGTATACATTATTACGTAACAGTGCGTCGAGTATACGATGACTAAGCAATCGCATCGCAATATCCAGCTCTGGATCGTTGTTCATCTGTTTCCATATCGTTGCTCATCTCGCGCGCGGAACTCACAAAAGGAAAATATGCAGATTAATTTCCGATCCTCTCCGAGACGAGGTTTACCGTGAAAATTGCGCGCCGGGGTAAAAAGCAGGAAGTTACCGTAGCGCGTGACGACAGTACTCGGCGGCTATACATACGATATACATAATACGTACATAAGGCTATGCTCGTTTTCTTTTATGCTAATTTTATATCTATATAACAACAGCGGCGCGCGGCCACCGCAGAAAAACGATAATTTCTGTCTCCTCGTATACGCGGAGAGGTGAAATCGGAGACTCGCACAGATGTTCCAAAACACTCACCAGATAAAAGTCGATGGGTTTCTCTCTGGCCTTGCTGTAGCCCTTCTGTATCTCGGTCTGCTTGAGCGCGTGGGCTATGTGCAGCGCGCTGGCGTCGAATCTGCCGTACTGGTAGCCGTCGTTGTTGAATCCACCACCGCCGCCGCTGTTATTGCCAACGTGATTGTTGTGATGATGCGGGGAGGAAGAATTGTGATGATGATGATGATGGTTGAAGTTGTGCGGCTGGTGATGGTGAAGATGCTGATTGTTCATCGCCGTCGACGAGGAGGACGAGAAATTGTGATGATTGTAGGCGGACGCGGGCGAGGAGTGATGATGCGACGCGGTGCCGTGGCCGTTCGTGTGACGAGGCGAGTCGGCGCTGTCGCATCTGTCGAATAGAAGATTGCGATAAAAAAAATGTTTGGCCCAATCGGTGAGTAGTTTGATGAAAATTGACTGAATATTCATAAACAGCTAATAAATTACTTTAATTCGTTACCGAAAAAGATAATTTAATACAATATATTATGTTTTAAAAAAAATATTATACTCACGGCGCATGCGAGTAGACGGCCGGCCTGGGCGAGCCACCCGCTCTGATCTGCTCGTTGATGTAGTTGCTGCTCTTGGGCACGTTCAGTGCGCTGCGTATGCCGACGCTCGAGCCGTCGAGGGTCCCAGGGCCGGGTTTGGGCACGTGACTGTGACAGTAGACCTCCTTGTCGTTGATCGTGTGCTGATTGTTGTAGTAGGTCTTGAGGGTGAGCTTGGTGCCGCATATCGCGCACTTGAAGCAGCCCGAGTGGAAGAACGTGAAGTCCTTGAGGGGACCCACGCGGTCCACCTGGTAGACGGTCTGCTGGCAGCGCAGACAGCTCGACTCGTAGAAATTCGGACGGTACATCATCGTTGATGTGGGTGGTGCAGACAAGACGTTACTGTGAATTTCAAGGATGAAGAATGAGAAATAAGGTTTCAGTTATATACAAATTTATTTGTAGTTACGAGATTAAACTCTGAAGAAATTCTGAACATTGATAATGTCCTATCGACCGAAAAATTGCCATTTGCAGTTTTTTAAGTATATAAACATTAATTGGTTTGTTTTCTGTGATTTATCTGTTACAATTAATTCTGCTGATAATGAATTTTTAAATTTTTTTCAAAAAAATTAGATCAGTTTTCAATGACTTCAAATGACACCACTTCGGGTCTTTACCACTAGATGGCGAGAGTCTTTATGTGTAAAAATCTGCAAGTGGCAAAGTCAAAAAATAATTTTATAAGTCAAAACACGGTTTTATAATATACAAGCTTCTATGTTTTGTTTTTTCCTTGTTATATAGTCAAAAAATGATTATTAAAAAAACGTAGAGCATTATAATATGGCCATGAAATTTTGTTAAAAACCTTAAACTTTTGGTTCATACGCGACCAGTTCCAATTGCTCCTCTTGGAGTGTGCATTACTATAATTAAATGAATGCAAAGAAGTAAAAAAAAAATAAATATAAAAGCTGGAAGTTGCACTCGACACATGGAAATCGTATCAATCAACGGGGCGACGTGCGATCGTTTTCTCGAGCATTGATACAATCGCACTCGATTCCGTTAAACTCCGACAGCTTTTACTTATCCACTTATAAGTGAGCGCGATCGCCAGGCGCTTATATGAGTTACACATACGACGTCAATCAAATCGAAATCGATGCATGCCGTGTACGTACGTGCAAACACCTGCGTGAAAATTTATACCACTCGTCGCGATCGTACATGTAAATCGCGTGTATTTTTCTTACACGAGTGTATCACCTGCTTCGGAAAGTTATTTACTCGATATATACGTCGAGTATGTGGCGTGCATACTTGAATGAAGTAAAGGAGCATATAATTTACGATGCTGCATTGGAGCAATAATTTTTTCGTTAGCGATTGCGTCAAAGATGCAAATTACCGATTTATCGATGATTCTATAAAATTTTTTCTCGCAGTCAATGCGTCGTAGAAATTGGAAAGTGAAAAAGATCCTACTAAGTAGCATTATACTCACTCGAACGGTTGAAAATCTCAGACGATGGCTCTTCTTCTTTGCCAGCGCGGCGTTAAGAGAAAAAAAGAGGCTGGAAGAAAAAAGCGAGGAAAGAGCAACGTCGTAGTCGTCGTCGCTCTTCCGCTTCCTCGACTCGCTGCTGCTGCCTACACCAAGGCTGCTGGCTCTAGTACTATTACTACTACTACTACTACAACTAGTAAACAACGTATGTCTTGGTGCATGCATCCACTTGGATGAATAATCTCCTTTCACTCCTGAATAACAGCTATGCATAATCGAGTATCCTCAAGGCTGTTTCTTCGGTCATTGTTATAGTCGCTGCTGCTCGTGTCAATTCTGCCGTTGTTATTGTTGTCGTTGTTGTTGTTGTTGCTGTAGCTGCTGCCGCCTGTTCCAAAGGCCTCATGTTTGAGTGCGCGCACGAGGAGGGGTATACACTACTCGCTCGTCTTGTCGCTCTCTATATAGCAGCTCACGCAAAGTTTCCAGCTCTGCAACAGATATGCAAGAGAGTAAGAGAGAGAGGATTTATATATCTATATAGTAGGTAGTATAGTAGTATAGCTCGGCGCATAGCTGCAGAGAACAACGGGAAAGTAGGCGGCCTACTATTTGCTCTTCTCGCTCGCTCGCTCGCTTATAGCTGCAGCCTAGTGTGCAAATGTAAGAAAGCAGATCGCGATCGCTGTATAACGATCATATAGATAGCGCCGAGTAAGAGAGACTAATTATCGCCTATGCGAGCTGCAGCTGCCGCGGCGTTGGTGTGGCGAATTCGGACGTAGCTCCGCGCGCAAATTGCCCGCTTTATGCGATACGCGAGAGAGGATCCCTCCTCGCCCGCCCGTGCGAGGAGGAGATTCGACGAGTGTGTATCCTTGCAGCGGCAGCGAAATGTTACGCGACCTGCATATTCAATGGCGCGAGCTTATTCATCCTTTTCCTATGCGCGAGCTATGTATAGAGGTATTCCGTTGAGTTTTCCCATGCCCGCGCCGGCAGCGGCTGTATATAATGCGCGCGTGTGTGTGTATAAGGCCTCGAGGGGGGCCTTGGCTGTGACTCGAAGCCTTGCGAGACGTATACGTAAAAATAAAATTAAAACCGTCGCTCGTGGCTCGGTTAATCGTAGATACGAGTTAAGGCGATCGAGCGAATTTCAATATGTCAAAATCTGTGATGTCTGAGTGATGGATTTAACGGTTGTCGAATATTTTAACCTGCGCTGTGTTGACACCTAAACCGATTGTCGGAAATCGGTAAAATTCGATTATGAAAATTACAAAAATTAAAGTATTTCGAAACAAGAATTTCCAAATATTCTATGTTCAAGGCTCGAAGGAATCTTAATTTGAAAAATTAAGAAGTTTCAGTATTTCATTTCAAAAATATAATGGAAAAATAAATCATTCTATATTCTCTCATTGTCTTCTTACACTTTTATACAAGACTTGATCAAAGAAAAATATTGTGTATCATCAGAATTAAGGACCTTCTATAATGTACGTGTTTGATACCTCTTGGTGGTGCGAGAAACACCATCTAGGTGAAAGATCAAAATTACATTGTGTTTCTTATACATTATGTAACTTATTGTAATTGTTTGTATTTGAAAAAATAACTGCTTTTATGAAATTTATTTCATTTTATTATTATTTTCTTCTTTTTATTAAAAACGATTTTTTAAACGTTATTATTCGGAAATGAAAATAACAAAAATCAAATGGTTCAGGATTCTTTTTAAAATTACAAAAAACTCTTCATCGACTGCAAAGATTGTGACACTGTAGAACAGTGCACAGAGCACGCGCTGGTCGTGGAGCGNGTAGTTCGTAGGCACGACAGCAGCGCCTCGTCGCTTTTGCGTATCGAGTCGAGACTTGCCTCGCTCTCTCGTTGTTGGGACGTCGAAGTGTGCGGACGTGCACGGAGATGCAGAGACACGTAAGAATTGAGCCTGAGTTTTTGAGCCACGGATCGTTGTAAAATGTGAGATTCAGGAGAGTAGAGCAATTAGATTTAATCATTTAGCCGATTATGTGAATAATTAATTGTAAGTTTGGAATATGTGTATGCGAGATGCGTCTATGAGTGATTTTAGCCGTAATGTATGCGTGTGTCAATGCTGTGACGAGTGTAGATTAGTAAAGTCGTATAGAAAGACAGTTCATTTTGTAACGTTGAGAAAATAAAATAGTCTTTGTTTTAGCCGTATATCTGCGTTTTTCCCGATCATTTTCACAACCCTGTCCCGGCAGATGAAGCCCACGACCGTTGGAATAAGCAAAGGGTCTTTCACATGAGAAGGGAAAAGAAAATTTCCCCTCTACGACTCTGCACCGGGAAGCAGTGTCGCAGTTGGCATCCCTCGCGGCGATTAGAAATAGAGAAAAACGCGTGAAAAATCGAGAAAATGTAGAGCCAGTTTTGAGACGTTAGCATTTTCGAGTACGTGTTTTTGTTGAGCCGAATAGTGAAGTGTTTAGTGAAAAAAGCGTGGTGAATTTCCGGGTGTGTTTGACGAGGTAGTTTTTCCGTGAGATTACGAAGAGTGTTCTGTGTTTTTTCCGTGAGTGTATAAAGAGTGTTCCGTGGTTTTTCCGTGAGTTTTCTGAGAGGTTGATACGCGTAGAGAGATGAGTATTGAGGAGACGATTTCTGGGTATACGCGTGTGTCGAGGCGTATGTGTGAGTTCTGAGCGTGTGTTGGTGCTCCCGAGCTAGATGTGTGTAGAGAGAGATGAGTATCGAGGAGAGGATTTCTGTGTGTACGCGGGTGTAGAGGCGTATGTGTAAATTTCGAGCGTGTGTTTTGCTCCCGAGATGGTGGAATTAATAAATTTTGAGCGTGTGTTTTGCTCCCGAGGTGGTAAACTTAAAAAATTCTGAGCGTGTGTTTTGCTCCCGAAGTAGATGAATTAAAACAAAACTCTGAGCGTGTGTTGTTGCTCCCGAGATAGATAAACTAAAAAAATTCTGAGCGTGTGTTTTGCTCCCGAGGTAGTTGAATTGATGAATTTTGAG